AGTCAGACATGTTATCTTTCTACAACCGTTGGAATTTTCGGCTTTCGATGTTCACAAATAAGGTCTTTTCTTTAATCAACAAAAACAATAACAACCAAATTTTACAAATTATTTTTCTTCTCTTTTAAATCTTCAATTATATATATGGGAAATTACAAAATTCTTTTAAAATTCAATTAAAAAAATTTTTAAAAATTTTTTTCGAGCACATTCATGATTTTTGGTACATAGGTTAAGAAAAATATGCTGATTCGAAATCTGTTCGCGTTCACTAAATCGGATGCTGCGCACAAAAGTTATATACGATTTTAAATCTTGTATTTCAAATATAAATTAAATGAATTCTTCAATTCGAATTTCTTCACAGATGGATAAACACATTTGTTTTCCTTGCATACTGGTCATTGAAATACGGTATAATAGTCGCGAAAAACAAATAGAAGCATCAAGATATCGGAAAATAAAATAAATTATTTTTTGAATTAAAACAATAAGGTTTTTTGAATTTTCGATTTGTTAGTATGGTTAAGAGGATACGGGTTTTCCTTAATCTTCTAAAATATTCCACGCTTTCTTCTGCAAGTTCTTTTAGATGATTGTTAAATATCGGTAGATTCTATTGTTAAGAGTTTTGACTTTAAAAACCACCAAATATATTGCAGTTACAGTATATGAAAATGATCAACATTAAAAAGGATGCAATTTGCGTATTCGTTGAAATCATTTGATGCGCATGGGTTTTTCGGATAAACCGAATCAATCTCTTCCAATAATTATGAATTTTTAGAGGTTTCGTTTGGCGGCCGAAATGTGCCGCACGATGCACTTTACTATGCAAAAACCGATTTCAGTAATCTCCTATGAAAATACACAAAAAGACACCTATTTTAAAAGGATCGGTTAAGAACCGCGGATGTGCCTCCGCAATCGATTTTGGATAAAATACGCATATTATTCGCGTTTCGATATATTTTTGACCTATTTTCACACAGATTCGCGAATATGATAACACAAGAATGAATGTATGTGAAATCAATTCCAAGATAAACGCGATTATATACGCGAATTTGTCAAAATAATTTTTTTGCAGTCTTTCCCACATTCAAGGTACCTATATTCGCCGTTTTATTGGGCGGAATTGAACATGGATGGGCTCATTAGATCCGGCACGTAAAAAAACTAAAATCACGTGGGGTTCCACGGAACTTGAACGGACTTTCTTAATTTTAGACTTAAAAAATATGTTTTTTATAAAAATTTACGCACCAAATTTTCGTCTTTGGAACCCAATTGCAAAGAAGCTACGGTGAGCACATTCATGAGATATACACTAAACGAAGCAAAATTACGAGTTCTACAATCCTATAATCAGTTTAGTCCATTATCTGGATGCGCATCCTAATTATAAGAAAAATCCAAAAAACACCGAAAATCCGGCTTCAAAATGTCAGCATCCATTTTGAGTGGATCCATTGATTATATCGAAAAATCATACATTAGAACCATATTGTCCATGGGGTATTCCGCAACTTAGTCACTGATCATATGTGCGTGCGTTGTGTAGTTTATCCACAAATCAGGAAGGAACACAAAAAACTCGTTGGCTTTAACACATTTTCACCCATTTTTTTTTACATTACCACCATCACAGCTTCCACCCAACTTATTATTTATTACCAATATTTTAAGATTTTGATAAGAACATTTCATTTTATAGAAATGAATTTAAATATGTTCATATTTCGCGAGTTATAACCTTGCAAACCTCAGCTTCAAGGAATTTAAAAGATTTTTGTAATTTCCCATATGTAAAGTTACAAACCTTAACATGCAATTGTATTCATTTAACAGCCCAATGTAACTCTTGAAAAGTTAAAATCGAGAATGGGGGAGTCCTCTTAAGACTATAAAGATGTGCGCTAAGTTTGGGGAAAATTGGTTCAGATTTAGATATAGCTCCCATAGATAGTTTCGCCTGATTTTAGGTAAATGGTTCACCAAAGCCCCTGTAAATCTTTCGATTTATACGAAGTTTGGTACATCGTGCTGAATTAAGTCTATAATGTTGTGTGCTAAGTTTCGCGAAAATCGGTTCGGATTCAGTTATAGTTCTCATATATATTTTCGTCCGATTTAATCTAAATGATGCACCAAAGGCCCATAGCTAGGCCGATAGACACAGCGTACTGACGTTAGTATAAATTAATCTCCGGGAAGTTTTCTTGAAATCGGTTTAGATATAGCATAGCTTCCATATTTAATTTCGACAAATTCATGTGATTGGGATTAATCACAGATCACATATTTAACTTCGTTTAATTTCACGTCATTGTTCCTTCGAAAAGGCGACGTTTGTTAGGCTACATATGTAGAAAATACCCAAAGTGGCGAAGGGTATCATATAGTCGGTCTAGTCCGACTTTACTACTTTCCTTACTGGTTATTATCGCGTTCGGAAGGCATACCAATAATGCACAACATTAATCATACGACATATTGCAAAGAAACCCTTTCAACATGCATTCTCCAGAGTTTTACCACTACTAAAAATGTGTCCCCGTGATTTTCCTAAATATCGTAAACACATTCAGTAAAAGATCATACGTTATCGTTAGACCTACTAATTCCTTTGAAGTAATATATTCTTCGAAAGGCAAAACAAATGGAATCCATCCTGCAGGATTACAAAAAAAAAAAAAAAAAAAACGAGTGGGCGGAGCAATATAGTCGGACGTTGAGGCGTCATGTTAGTTGCTCACACTCGGAAAACACCTCCTACTATGAATAAGCAACGAAAAAGAAAACTAAACATTCCAATTTTGACCACCCCACGATCTGCCAATCTGCACCTGGAATGTGCGCACGTTGTACAGAACCGGCGCAATTTTCGTTTTGTCAGATGTACCCAAGAAGTACAAAGCCGATATCATTGCCCTACAGGAAATGAGTTAATCAGATCATTATACCTGTCTTACAGCCATGAAACAGCTAATAGGTGAATAAAATATTTCGTCTCCGGATTCACCCCAAAAGATGATCGAAATGTTATAATCCGCATAAAAGCGAAGTTCTACTACATCGGTCTCATTTGCGCCCATGCTCTGATGGAAGACAAATATGAAGAGACCAAATATATATTTTACAAGCGTCCAAAAACAGCATAAAAGCGATGCCCTTGCCATGACATATTCTGCTAGGAGATTTTAATGCAAAACTCGGAATGGAAAATATTTTTGGTCCCACCGTCGGAAAAATTAGCCTCCACGAAGAAACATTCGACAACGGCATGAGGTTCATTGACTTCGCGTCAGCAAAAAACCTGGTAGTTAACAGCACCAAATTCAAACATCTCGATGTGTATACAAGGCCACTGGAATTTCTCCTGATCAAGTAACGGGAAATCAAATTGATCATGTTGTGATAGACGGAAGGCATTCATAAAGTGATTTAGGCATACGATCGATACGAGGAGCGAATATCGTACCTTGTGACGGACAAGCATCCCATCCGTCTTAATTTAGCAGCAATGGTGCTATCTAATGTAACACTAAAATTGGACGTCGAAAAGCTGCAAACTCAACAGATAACAGTGGACTACTCCGCTCAACTTACCCACTTGCTTGACAAAAACACTCCTTGTCCCGATAATAATATATAAGCACACCAGGAGTGTGCAATAAAGACCATTATCAAGAAACCCATAGTATTAGGAGTGTCGTAATGATACTGATGTGAAAAACGCAGCGCAGCAGGGGGAACCCTGCAGACAGTAGCAACAAGTAATGTGATGGAGAGAGGAGAACCGTGTTTTCAGAAAAAATGATAGTACAAGAAAAACGTGAGTGTGAGCAAATCGAGGATTCAGAATGAAATTTTACCAACAAGTAAAGCACTACACCAAAGGCTTTGGTGCAGGCCCATCCTCCTGTAGAGATGAAGAAGGAAACCTGGTGACAGATACAGGTATCAAATTGTGACGGTGAAGAAGATATCCCAGAACCAATAGAGTGTATACTATTTAGCCAAGATAAGGTCAGAATAGGAATCAATCGGCTGAAGAATATAAAAGCAGCATATGCCGATGGCTTAACAACCGAACTATTCAATACTGGTTGCCAGATGCTCGTCAGGAGTATGCATCAGCTGATTTGTACAATTTTAGTAGAGGAATGCATGCTGAATGATTGGAACCTCAGCATACAAGAAGGAGACAAGACGATTTGTGCAAACTATAGAAGACAAAGTCTTCTTCCCATCGCATATAAAGTGCTTATCAGCGCTGTGTGTGAACAGATGAAATGATCAATGGCATTATATGGCTATGCAGGATAACTTTAACTAGCACAAGGTCAGCTCTTAAAGTCAGAAAGAACCTCTCGGAGCCCTTCAATACTGAACGAGGATTCAGACACGGTGACAGTTTGTCGTGTGACCTATTTCACATCCTGCTAGAAAAGGTCATACAAGATTCAAATGTGAATAGAAATGACACTCGTTACACCAAACAGCATATGTTACTCTCCTACGCCGAGGACATCGACAACGCGCGCGGTAACATCCTACTTTGAACGAATTGAGAAGGAGTGTACCAAAGTGGTACTTGAAGTAATTGACGAGAAGATGGTAATAACGTCCAAACCGACCAGTAGACTCGGACCAGCTGTGGAACTTGAAAACTACAGCTTCGAGGTAATTATTTTTCATTCAAGTCAAATATTTCAATTCCCTTACCCAAACCCACATTCATTTTGAAATGAACTTAATCCGAATATTTTTGCATCTTCTAGCTCCGAGTTCTTTTGAAAATTTATGCATTGCTATTAAAACAACAATCCAGAATTTAATAATGCCCCTTCGAAAAAAAATAGAAAACTAGAACCGAGTCAAATACAAGTTACAACAATACTAATAATAAAATACTGGCAATTGCAATGGCATGAGAAGGAATAAAAAATAGAACGAACGAAATGATGGGTGGATGAATGGAAAAGAAAACTTACCCAATATACAAAAGAAATGCCACAAGAAAAAATACGATTTCAGAGAAATGATGATGGTGGGTAGAAAGTTTTTCCGTGGGCCACCAACACCACCACCACGACAAGTCGCTGTCGATGATATTGTTGCTCTTATGCTGTTCGATGCTGTTGATAATAACGATGAAGATGATGACGACAACGACAGCGTTACCGATGATGAAGCAGCCGAAGTTGAAAGAGTCATAGGCGAACTAGCCGAGGCAGTTAGAGTTTCAATTGCAGTTTTAGTGGCAGTATCAGAATTAGTAGCTGTAGCGGCTGTAGCCAATAATGAATCAGTGGCAGCGTTGATAGTTTGAGTGTTGCTGTTGGTGGTGCTGTTCGTGTTGGTGGTTGCAACTTTGGTGCTACTTGAAGTTGCACTGTTGACACGAAAGTCATCCACCGAGGATGATAATGTTGACGATGATGATAATGATGATGACGATGGCGGCGGCATTTTCGACTCGATTGTCCCCAGAGTGGAACTATTTGAAATTGTTGTACTGATTGCAGTTTTCTTAGTCATCGTCGTTGTCATCATTGTTGTTGCTGTTCTTGTTGTTGTTTTTCTTGTTGCTGCCATTGTTGTAATACTGTTTGTTATAAAACTAATAATATCACTGCCGCTCTCCCGGTACGTTCTATTTACAGACACTTTGCCGCGATTTTTACTGCAACTTGCCGTTTGTATTTCATGGTTTTGGGGCGGACAGGACTTTCGACTATTGGCTCTGTCTTGTGGTTTGCCATTGAAGGGGATCCTACTACTTTCTCGGAAGTTTTTACCACTGCCATTGTTGCTAATAGCCAAAGTAATATTTGTTGTATTGCTGCTATGCGAGGCAATGTCGTTCTTCGTTCGTTCCATGGAATTTGCCATTTTTATAGAATTTTATTTTTCTTTTTGTTGCTGTTGTCCTCTTCTATTTCTTGTTTTGTTGTTTGCAATTTTTAGCTAAAGTTGTTGTTATTGTTTTCGTTATTTTTTTTCCTCTTATATTCCACGGAAACTTGCAAGTTTCTGTTTCTGTTATTAATAACTTTCGACCGCGTTCGCAAAACTTTCTGTGCAATTTTTCGTTCGTTATGCTTGTTTTAATGCTTTTCTTCCCTCTGTCGGTCGGCTCTTCAGCGAGTTTTTATTTCACGTTTTCAGTTATTTCGTTCTGTTTTTTTTTTGTTTTTGCTCTGTTTTCGACTTCACTACTTTATGTGTTTCACTTTTTTCCGCTACTTTGAAATGCTTTAATGAAAAAGAAAAGTAAAAAAAAGAAATATTATTTTTTGTTGTTTATGTTATGATTGTTACAATTTTTTATGGTTTATTGTAGAAAAGTTTTATGATAGGAAATAGTTTAAGATGTTGCATTTACCCTACGGTATGCATGGAATGTAAATACTTAAATATTTACAGGGGTCTACATATTCTGATATGGTTTAATATGCCCAGGGTTTGTGATCAAATTTTTATTTCATGGCGTTCATATTCTCCTCGGGAAAACAAAATTTGGAAAATATGCCAGGGTTTGAAAGTGGAGCTTTTGACCTATAATCGGACAACAGATCACGAAATATTGCCCGTAATATAGATCCGCAGAAAATTATACTTTAGAGGTACCTGTGTATGGTTTCATATGGTCGGCCCCGTCCGATTATATTGCTCCGCTCACTGTTTTTTTATGTTTTATAGATCCGCAAATAAATTATACTTTAGAGGTAATCGGACAAGATATCACGAAATATTGCCTGTGATATAGATCCGCAGAAATTTATACTTTAGAGGTACCTGTGTTTTTATTTATTTTGTTGCCTTAGAACAGAATAATTTCTCCATAAGTCAGTCTAAAAAATCAGTAAGGAAAATTCCATAGTCGGACGGGGCCTGCTCTATGATAACCTTCACCACTCTGGGTACATACAAGAGATGCTAATGTGTACAATATCTTGTAGATAGAATGGACATAGCATCTTTAGAGGACCATTGAAATAGAATCGGACGAATTAAATTATTTATGTGAACTACATAGATATTTGAACTTATTTAAATCAATCCATACATTCTGAAATCTATGAACAATTAAATGTCAATCGGTCAGACTTTGGTGTACCATTTGTATTTGTATGTATATCTGGACGATTTGAGCAGCCGTGATATCCGGTATTGCATGATATCAGCTTTGCATGAACTCAGACAAAACTTTGTGCCTAAATTCATCCTAATCGGACAAACTTTAGTTATTTGGAACATCATTTAGATGAGATGAAAATATATACGGAAGCTATATGTAAACCAATTCAATACAATACTCTTTATAGAATCTCGTATAAGGTGAACAAAAATAAGCTCATCTCGCGTGCGTTAACCTGCTCCAATTTCAATAGGCTGTGTGCCTTAATTGGACAAACTAACCTTGGTAGTCTGCTGCATTATTTACAAAAAAATCGGAAGAAATGTCCGATTTTCAATAGGATTCGTTCTTGGGCCATAAATAAAAGAATTCTGCCGAATTTTATCCGAATGGGATCAAAAATGCGACCCTACTTTGCTCACAAGAATACATGGACAGACGGCATGTATAAATGGACTCAAAAAGGGTTTCTATGCATATTCTGAAGATGAACCGTGACCCGATTTCTTTTGCCTGCTGAAAACATATGTGCCAAGACAAAATACCCTGTATCACAGTATGGCGAAAGATATAAAAAAAATTTCCTGGTGCGTTGACCTTGTTCCCGCTGTTTCCCAATTTGAAAGGCCATGGTTCGAGATATTATCTTCTACTTGACATTTTCAGTTAAATTCTTGGTCTTCAACTTCTGCGTTTTATATCAGTAGATTTTTTCAACCAACACTCCAAGAGATGCCTCATTTGCTTTCGTAAGTACCCATGCTTCCGATCTATACATCAGCACGGGTAGTATAAGCGTCTTGTAGAGTGTGAGTTTGGTCAGGCTTTGTTTATGGCGGTACGGAGGTATGTAAAACACTACCTCGAAGCATTCATTTTCAAGTTCCACATTTGGTCCAGGCAATTGGACGCCTATCGCGTTGAAAGCATGTCTTATTACGATTTATTTCCAGACCCACTTTTAGACTTAATTTCTATCTGTTCAAAGGTGGCAGTTACCGTTTGCAATGTTATACCCATTATGTCGATGTCATCGTGCGGTTTGGCGTACGCAGTGGCATTTCTGGTTACCTTTGCATCTCGTATTATGTTTTTCAGCTAGGATATTAAATATGTTACACGATAGGCCGTCATCTTGTTCGAGAAGGCTCCGAGAGTTTCTTTTCGTCTTTAAGTGCTGATATTGTGCCAGTTAAAGTTATCCTTCATAGCCTATTATATTTGCAGGAATGTCGAAGTGTCCTTATACATTTCCCTACAAAAAAAAATGAGTTAAAGTTATCCTTCATCCTAGTATTTGGATAGCGAAAAAAGATATTCAAGACAATTTTCGGTACCAGTCGATGTCTGCATATGTCTCACATATTCAAGACAATTTTCGGTAGAAAGGCCCCGTCCCATTTTCTTTATTATTAAGGTTTTAACCGAACTTTATTATTAAAGTCGACATAATTTGGCATATTCGGAACCCTGGTGAATAGAAGACTCATTTCCCGAAATTATTCAATATACGATAATGTTTTAGAATAGCAACATAAAACTTTTACCAGAGTCCAACCTGAGTTGGACATTTAATGTAATCATCTATTCCCCATATAAAGTTTCTGACCGGTGGAAATTATAAAAGTACGGCCCGGCCGACCTTGACATAGTTTTTGCGTGTTTATATTCACAGAAATGCAATGATATAAAATTTTACTGGTGCAAAACTCAGGGTTCCATATTTAAAATATAGGTACAATTTATTCTTTTGACTTTTGGATTCCGCAGCCCGGAA